GTAACATTTAAAGAATAGTCTTTTTAAAGATGCTTCTGTTATTGGCACTTGTGTATGCACATGCAATAGGATTTTGTCAATAAACTAAGAACTTATTTTTATTTCAGGTTGAAGTTCCCCTACCAGAGCATGATACATCAGGCACCTCTATGGATTTCTTTAAGAGGAACTGTGCATTTATTGAAGAGCACACGGAGCAGTACTTGAGTTCACAGATTGCTTTGGGAATGTGAGAGCCATTATTTGCAACTCCCCAACAATTTATTTTGAATTTGTTGAAATCGCTGATGTGTGAACTGATTATCAAACCTTGACAAACAGTTTATAAATCACTTTGAAGTTGGCACAAATAAATATTAATGAATCAGTTTACAAGGAACTTAAAAAGTCAGTTTCTTCTTCTTTCCAAATCAATGAAAATGAGGGTCACAGTTGTTCTGTTTGAAAAATAATCTAGTTTGTTAGTCATAATTATTTCCTTCAGACACCTATCAGACCATTTTATTATATGAAATCGGACTTTTTTTAGGTTCCTGAAGCAGAAGTGTCCCTTGATCGACAGTGAGACCTACAGGGTCAGACTCTATTGTTGACAGTACCACATACCTCGTTGTAAGCTATGGAGAAAGCTGGAATGGAGTTGGAAGTGTCCTCCCTACTGGCTTTCTCTCCGGTGCCAGGAGATACTACGTGGGCTATAGAGGTAAAAATATTAGCAATGGTCTTGCCCTCTGAGAATGATATAAGCCAAGAAAACCCCTCCCAAGAAAGTTGTGCCCACGTGGGTAGTAGAGGCACAGCTGTTGTACAAGGTGTAACCAACAGACTTGTGGCCTTACCAGAAGTCTATTCCGTGGGAGGAAGCCCACGCCTGCTGCTGTCTGTGTGGTTAACAACAGCCCACACCTGAGGAGTGAGAAACTCGAGGAACGTACCACAGCTATATAAATAAGACATAGCACCAAAGGGCCTTATAAGTACCTATGTTTATCATGCTCACACACACACACACACACACACACCTGTTCTTTACCTCACACACAGACACACACACACACACATACCTTAATCACAGAATCCTGTATTTTCAGTGAATGGTAATGAATGCATGGTACTAAAAATAAGTGGCAGTCCAGCCCTTGGTCCTACAATGCATGTATGCTAGCAATGCCACCTCTACTATCCAGGGAACTTTGTGGAAGACAGGATGCATGTAAGAGTCAAGTAATTAGGGAAAGTGCTGGGAAATGCTATCCTCAAGGCCCAGTACAACTATTGCAACCACGAATGTAGAACCGTAATTACCTTTCCTGGGCCAGTACATCACTGGCTTTCTCAACAGTCAGTCAAGGAAAGGAGAGAAATTCACAAAACCAAAATTACCTTCCCCGAGTCAGCAAAACACTGCTTTAGTCAACAGTTAGTCACTGTAGGGAGAGAGCTATACAGAATCCTAACCCTTATGACTGAACCATTGGCTATTGAAAGACTTGGGGACAAAGGGAGTCATTGTCTATTGCAGTTCCAACAGACACCTCCAAAGCCATGGTCCCACTGATGGCCCTGGAGAAACTCAGTGATTCACAAGACAAATGAATGTGGGAAGGGAGACTACCAGAATAGGAAAGAGATTAGTGAAGGGGGAGGCAAGAATGGTCAGTGTTCCTTAGTGTGTGAAATTGTCAAGGAGCAAACTTAATTGCTAAACAATTTAAAGAGAAAGGGAGGAAAGGAGGGAGGAGGGAAGGGAGGGTGGGAGGGAGGGAGGGAGGAAAGAAGTGAGTGATGGTTGTGACTGTTGACAAGGCAAATCTCACAAGGCCCAGTGCAGGTAACTGCAGCTGTAAGCGTATGACTGTAACACCCTCTGCAGCTCTTGGCCCCATCCTCTGGCTTGTGCATAGAGCCCACCCTCATTTCTTACTGTTCCATGAGAATGTCACGGGTTGAAAGCTTTCTATAAAATAGATTATGTAAACACAAACAGGGTACTTATAATTTGAAATACAAAAAGGAACTGTTAACCAAGGATTGCCCAGGGCTGGCCTTAAAAGAGGGAAAGAAAATAGCAAGTGAGTGGCCATGTACTCAGTCCCAGTGACTGACCAATCCGGTCCCACCTAATCCATCACTTACTCTTGTCTCACAGGCCAAGTTCAGATCTAACACTCTTAGCTGTTTCCTTCAGCTACTGGAAGAAAATGCTGAATTTAAGCATGAATGTCTACGGGAGTCCTGTGTCATTTCAGCTTTTGAAATGGGGAAAAAATAGATAAATTTCTACAGGATGTAGTTCAAGGATACAAAAGGCACTCTGTCTCTCAAAAATGCATAACAAGAGGGACCTTATAGTTCAATTCTCTTAAACATATGAGAAATCCTTGGCCCAAGATTTTAACTAGCATGCAAATGCTTAAGAGTTAGGAGCATTTGTTGTTCTTGGAGAATAATGGTTCAAATCTCAGTACCAACTTCTGGGGACAACAGGCACACTCATAGTGCATACCCACAAATGCAGGCAAACACTCAGATACATAGAATAATACAATAAGGAACCCTTTTTAAAAAAGAAAACTAACGAAGTATAGATCGGCCTCAGATTTCTAGTTAGTACATATATTCCCTATGGACTTACCAGTCATCATAATATGGTTATACAAAGTCTTGTTCTGTAAAGCCCTTTTAGAAGGCTGTCCTGTGTTTGATTTACATAAACAGAGGAGAGAAGACCAGGAAATGAGGCTCATTACATCCAGTTGAGAACAAGTAAGGAGGAAGGGAGGGCATTGACAGGTGAATATGAAAAAGACACAGTGACACACACACACACATACCACATACACCACACACACATATACACACACGCATACACATACACACACACCACACACACATACACTCACACACACATACACTCACACACCACACCCACACACACATACACACACATACACACACATACACACACACACACATACCACATACACCACACACACACATATACACACACACCACACCCACACACATACACACACACACATACACACACACATACACACACACATACCACATACACCACACACACATATACACACACACGCATACACATACATACACACCCCACACACATACACTCACACACACATACACTCACACACCACACCCACACACATACACACACACATACACACACACATACACACACATACACACACACATACCACATACACCACACACACACGCATACACACACACGCATACACATACACACACACCACACACACATACACTCACACACACACATACACTCACACACCACACCCACACACATACACACACATACACACACACACATACCACATACACCACACACACACATACACACACACCACACACACACACCACACACACATGCACTCACACACACATACACATACACTCACACACATATACCACACCCACACACATACACACATACACACACACATACACATACTCACATACCACACACACCACACACACACATTCACACACACGCATACACATGCACTCACACACACACATACACTCACACACCACACCCACACACATACACACACACATACACACACATACACACACACATACCACATACACCACACACACACGCATACACACTCACATACACATACACTCACACACACATACATATACACACAGACACATATACTCACACACCCACACACATACACACACATACATACCACACACACCACACACACACACTCATACACCACACACACACATTCACACACACACATATACACATACATACCCACACATACACACACACGAAAATATAATAATGAAAAATTAAACCCGTTGTTTTTAACATTAATTGTAAAATGGAAAAATAAAGGTGTTTAGTGGATGGGGCCATCCAGTGAATACCACATACTGATGACACAGCCACCAGAGGGCGCCGTTTCTAATTTTCAAAAGACACCAAAGCTGCTCACAAAATCGGCAGGGAGGAAACAAAAAAAACAAAACTTTTCACATCCACATTCTACCAGAGATGAAGAGCTGGCATTCAGACCTCGTGATGAGAATATTTGTTAAGTCAGTAAATCAATGTCAGGATGGGAAGATGGATTGTCTTGGTGCTGGAGAATATTCATTTTATTTCAGGAGAAATGATGTAGGAGAAGCATTCACAGCACATCCTACTTCACTCTGTGAAACATGAGACACTTTACTGAAGGAGCCTGAAAGTATTTTTAAATAGCTCTACGGGAAGCCGGAGAAAGAGAAAATTCTTGCATCCCTTGCTTGATGGTTTTGCTCAAAAGTCTCTTATTTTGCTAGAAATAAAACAAGAGGGAGTGCAGATAGGGTTCTGACAAACTGTCACTCCATCACTTTGCCAAAACCCTGAGAAATGCTCATGCACACCGAGGTACCAAGTCTTAACTCCACGGATACAAAAGCAAAGTTTCCCATTCTAAAGCTACAAGAGCAGCCCGTCAAGGGCAGCCCATCTTTCTATATACAGGTGCTAGATAGACCGTTTGCATAAATAACGCCTTCTGAAAAGGAGTGCCGCAGAAGATACCTGCAGTGCTGTCTTCTGAGCAACGAGGATGTTAGGGTCCATCCAGAGACAAAGCCCCCACCTCCTTCCGTGTTGCTAGTTAATTTTACACTTGGGAACAAGTGTAAAATCGTTCTTGATTTAAACGTGAGCTCTTCCAGCCTCACCAAACCATTCAAGAAACGGTCTCCTCGATGGGTAAGGTGTTATTCTAGCTAATCAATTTTTTGGTGTAAAATAGATGCAATGAGATACTTGGAATCAAACGTGTCTATCCATTTGTCTTAGGACATAAATTCACTATGCCGATAAAAAAAACGTGAAGGATATGACAATAATTCTCGCATGATGTTGGGTGTCGCTGCCTACTCTTTGCGTTCTAGGAAAATTGGCTGTTGCGGGTGGGGAGCATGGATGAGTGGCTCACCTGGTCCAGCAGCTTCTGCCCATTGACGTGCGCCTGCAGCACCGCATCATTGACGAGCAAGTGGAAGTTGAGGAGCACGTGCTCTACGTCATAGGTCCCATGCATTGCGTCTGACAGCTCTTCCAGGGACCGGATGTAAGCATGCCAGTGCGGGTTAAGCTCCGCCATGTGAGCCAGGCAACCCCTGACGACATTGAGGCAGTACCCCATGCAGGGTTTACTGAGCATCAGGCTCTGGCAGTGTGGGCAATACTGCATCCTCAGGAGGGCTCGACTGCACTCCTTGGAGAAGTGCATATGGTCCGTAGTATTGATGACTTCAATGCCCAGATTAAGCGCCTGCAGAAATGTGCGGCTGGGCAGCAGGGATCTCCCCATCTGCCCCATGACTCTTTTGGGAATATTGCCAAATGGACTAACATCCTGGCGGGCCGTTCGGATGCATTCTGAATATTGCGGAGAACTGTCAGTCACACCAGGATTTATGAGATGGTTGTAGACCAGAGGGAAAAGACTGTCAAAAAATCTGTTTACAAATTCTTCAGGATTAACGTCTGCACCGAATAAATAGAGCCCTACATCGGTGAAAAACTCCTGGATAGAAGCAGCAGCCTCCAAGGCCATGTTCCGGTAGGTGTTGCAGAAAAGGATACTGGTGTAGTTCTCTGCTTGGCGGATGAGGGTTTCCAGGGTCTCTGTAACACAGTGGAGGTAAGGGAGAAGGCTTAGTACTCATGACAAGACGTCTGTCCATCTTCCACGTGCAGCAAATGACTCTAATAAAGTATAACTAGCGCAAGATAAACCCTGATGTGCAGTCTACCAAACTGATTTTTTCCCAAGGAGAATGACTGCATGATAATGCCAATACACACACCGCATGCACTTTCCAGAAATGCATTTCCTGATATCCAAGCCTGCTAAAAAGCACAGAAACCAAAAGTTAGTTACACAGAGGGGTAGTTTTGACAGCTGCTGGCTGATAAGTTTGTTCTGTTTCGTATCCTGGAGTCAACACTTATAAACATGACAACATTTAATACTTAATTTCCTGGCTACTGTATTCTCGTAGTTTTCCCTAAGACTACTTTCATTTTCAAAATGAAAGCTTGTAGATTGTATATTTGTTCCTCCTAAAGCAGGTAGGTCCCGAAAGAACATCCTGAAAATCCACAGGCTGTTTTGCCTTTTTCAAGCTTACAGATAATTATAATATGTCCCTACCATGCTTCCTTGGTATTTTATTCTTTGTAGCAGTGAGAAATATAAGTGATGCTACCTGAAGACAGAAGTCTGGAGCTGTCTCATCCATTACACTTTGTTATTCTTACTCTGTTCCTCAGAAGGCTAACAGTGGAGCATGCTATCTGCTACCTAAGTAGCTGATGCTCCAGAACCAGCCAACCAAATCTAATATATCCACAAAGAGAGGGAGAATATTCCAAAAGGAAGGGGCTGGAGTAATCTGTGAGATCACATGAAATTCCCACCTATTAAAGAGCAATAAACCACCATGACTATTCCAGTAATTACATTCCATAATTAGACTAATTAATGACACTTGACTATATCGATATATAATTAATTATAAAATATATTCAATAAAATTATCTCCCATAGCAACAACCTCATAGTTATTTTTAATTAGGTTGTAAAAGACCACAGTCATAATTCAGTAACCAGATCAGTGCTGGAAAACGTCAAAAGGAGGTCATGAAAAGCAAATATACATGCAGTGATTGTTAAGAAGGCAGAACCATATCGTGACTGTGTCTTTTCTAAACTTCTCTGAAACTGATTGGTGTTGCATTCCAGATCTCAGTGTGCAAAGTGAGGGTACGTGTACCCTGCAATCAAAGGTAACTGCTTGGAAAGGTCACTGCACCTCCCAGTTCCCTCAAACAGAGGACTACAAAGTCTAGATTGATAATGAGGTAGGACTCTACAGTTACCAAGTGTATTCTAGCAACTCGTGAACATGGGAGAGAATGAGTGTGGGTTGCCAGCCGCCATTAGTACCCGGTTCCCCAAATGGCCAAACCACTGGTCTGTGTGAAAGCAAAGGCAGGCTGCAAGACCACTGAGAGGTCTGCCTTAGTCCAGCAATCTACATTGAACACGCAGCTCATGGGATTCCCACACGGCCAGATGTAGAAAAATGCATCAGTAAGCATCCCAGGAGGACAGTCCAACCCTCGAGCTGCATCCCAACCAGGACGCTGTTGTCCCAGCCACACTCAACTCAGGGCTTGACTAGAATAAAGCATCTAACTAAGTTTGCCCACGTTCCTCAGTTGCTTAATTAATTAATTATGACGTAGGTCACAAGCAATTATATTTAACAAATGACTACAAGTTAATTGATTTTTAAGATAAATGAGGCTAGATGAAAAGGCACCCTCATAGCACACGCATTCCTGCACACTTCCCACACAGGGATTTTAAGGTGTGCTATGAATGGGTTCAGGTACCTGACGTGAGCCACAGCACTCTCCATTGAATGATGTTAGAACAGGGGTGACCCCAGCAATACAAAGGTCCTGCGCTTTTTCCGACAACTCTAAATGATGTTCAGCTATGTGATTGTTCTTAATGGCCAAAGGTAAAATCTAAAGTGTTTCTTTACAAATTCTAACATCATCCCTTTATAGCTAGTGACTTAAGACTGAACAGAGTTTACTGTAAATATCCATAGCTGTACATTTTGCAATATTGACTTACTTTATGAGAGCAGCATTAAAGAGGATGTATTTTTTCAGAAAATCATGGTGCAGTGCATCCAAATAGTATTTCTTTACTGAATTCACCCTGTGCTACTGGCAACAAACTAACTTTGACTGTCACTTGCATGTGCGACTAAAACCTAAATTTATAAACAAAGTAAATAATCCTGACTGTATTTTATTTTAGAGTGCTTCTTCTTCAATTTGATTACTATTTTCTAAACGTCTAAACAAATTGGAGCTTTGAAGTTGGCTTTTTGTGTTAGTGTTTCACAATGTTACAATATACCACAACAGGGGGACTTATTTGCTTTCGATTTAAAATGTGTTACATGCAATAGTTAAAACAATTGGGATGAGCACATTTTGTGACTTTAGCCTTATACTCTCTATACATTTTAATACACCAAAAAGTGTATAAAGATAGAAAGCCTCAGATGACCATGCTGTTACTTATAACCCCAGTAACTGAGAGGAGGACCATGAAATTGGTCTTTTCTAACTCAGGCCACCCTGAGTAATGCAGGAAACCCTGTCTCAAAACCAAGCAACTTAAAAACTAACCCATTCGATGATTTTTGTCATTTTATTTTTAAATTGAGTAAACTCAAGGTGAGGTTATAAAAAATTACTCCTGTGTATTAACTTTGATTTTACAAAATTATAGTTTTTATCAATAGGAGATAACACTTTCCTTTTTAGAACTGACACTGGTTATTAGAAAAAATTTTAACTTTGAAAGTAATTGACATGTAACAAAGCATTTACTGCTGTGCAAAAGAATTTGTACATAGCATCAGTTTGAACACAAGGTAGGTTAGGTGCTGAAAAGTTTGTACAGTGACTTAACTGTGAAGAATAAGATGTGTGTTACATTACAAAATTTTATTTCATGGGAAAAAAATCCACACGGAAAGAAGAACCTTTCCATCCTGGTGCTATGCATTGGAATGATCCGTGAAAAAAAAAAAAAACAAAAAAGATGAACATTTGCTCACATTTGTTTAAGAATACTGTTGTGGACTATTAGTTAAAGATGTGTTACATTCTTTTATGCTGCGGAGCATGTGTTTAATGATGCAAAGATGTGTCACATTCTTCTGTGTCACATTTGTTTAACTCTGAGAAGCTGTGTTTCTTTGCCTGCCTAAAGTACCTGCTTGGTCTAAGAAAGAGCTGAGCGGCCAATGGCTAGGCAGGAGAGAGAAGTAGGTAGGGATGGCGGGTAGAGAGGATGTATAGAAGGAGAAAAACAGAGAGGAGGGAGCACGTGGGCAACAAAATAAAGAAAAGGAGTAGGAGAGGAGGGCTCCAGGGGTCACCCACCTAGCTACATAGCCAGCCATGAGTAAGAAGGAAAGAAAGGTACACAGCATAGAGAAAGGTAATGTTAGAAGTAGGTTTTTCGATAAGGTAAAGCCCAGAGGCAAAAGATAGATGGGATAATTTAAGGAAAGCTGGCTATAAACAAGCCAAGATAAGGTTGGGCATTTACAAATAAGAATAGAGATGAATTTATTTGAGAGCTGGGTGGAGGGCCCGCAAAGAGTAAAAATAAAAAGTAACTAAAACGTAGAGGTCAAACTACAACAAGCCCTTCCTCTCTTCATGCTTGCCATTGAGTATATCAGCAGGCATCTCCTTCCGGTGATTTCAGATGAAACCTAGGAAGCCAAAATCAAGTCTTGCTTCCTTTTAATGTCAAGTACTAGAAAGAAGAAAAAGCAGCAACTTAATTACAATTTGATTGAAAATATAATTCCTCCTAGACTTATGGGAAAAATCATTTATCATAAAACCATTTGTGCATAATCTCACAGAAACATGGATTCGAATGGATGGAGTTCATGCGCATCTATTTCAATTATTGGTATTAGCATTCTGTGATAACTGCAAGCTAAAACACAAGAACAGAAACTTCTCTTCAGGTTTCCCAGGCCTACTGCTGTCAAGGGTATGTTATCATACATGCAAATGATTGCTAACATGTAAATCAAGGATTTAAATTCAAATTAAACACTGAAAATAAAGTCAGGTGACATTGATAAAAAATTAAATTTAACAAACATGTGAGTGGCTTTTGACAGCAAGAGAAATGTGATCTTCGTGGGGCTTTTATGATTTTAGGTAGCAATCACGAAACAACAGTTTTGACAACCTCTCCAACATGACATGAACTGACAATATCTGGGTCTTAATACATTTTGGTTTTTTTTAAGCCTATGAACATGCTAAAACACAAAATATTAAGTGTTATTTCCAAGGTAATACTACAGATGTCTCCAGCTAGAGCAATGAAAACATGAAAAATGGTAAAACCTCAACAGCCATGGATACAATCAGCTGATGCTTAGCATGTATACTTGGGTGGAAGAGGTATTTTCAGAGGATTTAACATATTTACACATGAGAGTCCTTGAGTCACAGAGTATATTAACTGAAACGAAACTTTCATTACTACTCAGTCACTTCCAAGCTCTTTTGTGCCTGATAAACAGATGGATAGAACTTAAGAATAATTTCTCAATAGTTTTATCTGGCATATATTAAAATAAATTTTAACTATTCCAACCTTTATAATGCTTTCCAATGATTTTTTCAGAACCACACTTAATTCTTCTTTTAATCTTCCAAAGACCTCTACAGGTGCACTGTTGTCATACAAACTTACATAAAAGCACAGCAATTACTGATTTTTTCCAGCTTGGAAATGTTTATGATGAATTTGTTCTTCCATTTGCATATTTCCTCAAGTTTTTCAGGAAAGTAAAATGTGTAATAAATGTTCTCTGCGATATTGATTTAATGACATTTAAATGCTATGCATTGTGATTTGTAATATAATTCTTCAGAAATTAGTCATCTGTATAAGTAAACAGTGACTGGGATATTAATCTGCATCACTAAGAATTAGCATATTGGTCATTAATCTACTCTACCAAGACAAGCACTGTATGGAAAAATGCTTTCTC